ATACATATATGTGTATGTATATAAATATCTGTGGCTTAGTGGCAGAACACTTGCCCAGCATCTCCAAGGGTGACACAGTTTTGGAAGGAAGTTAAGATTCAAATCTAGAACTACAAAGATTCAACATTCTTCACTTTATTCAATTGCCACAAAACAGTCATTAAGGACCTAAAACATCCTCAGGCCTGGCAGGCTGTGGTGGCACTCGCATTTAATCCCAGCACTGAAGAGGTAGGCTTAAGGTTTAAGGTTTCTTTTGCCTCACAGTTTCAGGGGAAGTCAGTCCATCATGGTGGGAAAGGCTTGGTGGTTTAGAGGGTCAGCTCTGGGTTGGTAGGAGTGTGTAGTGGAGGCACCTAACTTCTTGGCAAATCAGAAACCAAAGAACTTTGGCAGAAACCAGAAGCAGATACAAGTTTCAGGCACCATATGCTTTTGCTATCAAGGCTGTAAGTCCAAAAGGTTCCACAACTTTCCCAAACTACATCACCATCTAGGGACCAAATATTCAAACACAGGCATCTGAGGACGGCATTTCTTCTTTTTTTTAATTTAAAAAATTGCATTTAACCCCTGGCTGGAGGGGTCTTCCGGGGAGTATCTGGGCCTGGCTGATCCCGGCCCGCACCCTCTCTGGAGGGCCCTAGTGGGCTCTGAGCCCTCCGCCCTGGGGACCAAAAAAAAAAAAAAATTGCATTTAACAGCAGCGATGACATTCCACTGTTTGCACAAGTTAAACTGCTGATGGAGATGATTCAAATCAGAATCTGAGCCAACTAGGGAAAAAAACTACATTTGAGTGAGTGTGCATGTGTGTGCATGCCATGGCACACATGTGGAGGTCAGGGGACAACTTGCATGAGTCAGTTCTCTCCTTCCACCATCTGGATCCTAGGGATGGAACTCAGGTATTCCCATCTCAAACCAGTGAGGTTATTTTCTGGCATGATGCTGTCTGACCAGCATTACTACATACATAGTCTCCAGTTACGGTCTCTAGAACTTGAATATCACAATGATAATAATCACCTTTAATGAAGGATTTAGTAGAAAACAAATCCTATGTTAGGTTAGAGATTTAACCCTCAAACCAACACAGGATATATATTATCTTTATCATTTCACAAATGAGAGAAATGGAGGATGGAGTTCAGAAATGCTCATGGGTAAATGGCCTGATTTAGAGCTGGGATAGGAACCAGAATGTGTCTGATTTCACGGTCAACCTATACTGACTCACAGACTGAGAATGGAGCTCATAAGTATCAACATACAATGGATGAGACAAATCCAGTCCACCTTCAACAAAATCTGTGAATCTGCAACTAGGAAGACTTGGGAACACTCAGCCCCCTCAGAATGAATTAATTGGTACTAGCAAAATGTGCCCCAGGTAAATTTATACTTGACTGTCCTAAGAGCCCTACTGATAACTTAGGTTTTGTATTTTTTAATTATTTTATTTTATTAGTGTTTTTGAGACAGGGTCTCCCTGTAGCCCCATGTGGCCTGGAACTCGAAATGTAGACCAGGCTGGCCTTGAACTCACAGAGATCTGCCTGCCTCTGCCTCCCGAGTGCTGGGATTAAGGTGGGTGCCACCACACCCCTCAAATTTTTGTATTTTTGTAACACCTGTACAAACTGCTTTTAAGCCAGGTGTGGTGGAACACGACTTTCATCCCTGCCCTCAGGAAGCAGAGGCAGGCAGATCTCTAAAAGATGGAGTCCAACCTGGTCTCCACACTGAGTTCCATACCTGCTGGGGCTAAGTTTCAAAAAAAAAAATTTTTTTTTAAATAAATTTTTTAAAAAAAGGTATTTAGGGTCTGGTGAGATGGCTGTGTGAGGGCACTCACTGCCAAACCTGATGGCCTGAGTCCCATCCCTCGGATCCATGTGCTAGAAGGAGAGAACTGACTGACTCCTAAAAGTTGTCCTCTAACCTCCACATGTTGGGGGGTGGGTGGTAAGAGACAGAGAGAAAAAACAGCTAGGCATACACACACAATAAATGTAGTATTTTCTTTTTATTACATAATGGGATTTTAATATTTTATTTTTAATAATTTCTTACATGAATATTATATTTGCATCATTTTCACCCCTCCGAGTTCCCTTTCCAACTCCTCCCATGTCGCCCTCAATTTCTTGTCCTTTTATTATTGTTACATATATACATACATTTGTAAATATGAATATATATGTATATATAATGCACTGAGTCCATTTAGGGGTACTCATGTGTACATGTGTTTAGGGGTGACCACTTGATTTTTGTTTTTGTTTTTTGACAGGGTCTGCCTAGCCCCAACCTGCCTGGAACTCACTATGTAGACCAGGCTGGCCTCGATCTCAAAGAGATTCCTCTGCCTCTGCCTCCCAAGTGCTGGGATTAAAGGCATGCACAACTATACCTGGTGTGAGCTGCCCACTTGGGATTAGATAACCTATCTGGGAGCTAGTCCTTGGAGAAAAGAGATTCTCCCTTCCTCAACATCCATTTATTGCCTACAGCTCTTCATCTGTCTACCTCGACATGTCAACTGGTTTTCTCATAATACATATCTTGTTAGGCTATTATACTGTGGAAATTTCATGGGTGCAACTTCCTCATCATGTCTAGAATGCATTATCTACCAGCAGGCATCTTGTTCCTCTGGTTCTAGCAGTCTTTCCACTCCCTCTTCCTCCATGTTCCCTGAGCCTTAGGTGTACAGGTTGCATTGTAGATGTCAATTAGGGCTAGACACCCCACAGTCACTTATTCTCTGCGTTTTGACCTTTAGTAGAACTTTTTGATAGTCTCTGTTACAAGAAGCTTCTTTGATGAGTGGTGAGAGCTACACCTGCCTATGAATATAAGGATGTGTACTTAGAATACAGTAAGAAATTACATTGATCTAGGAAACTGGCAGTACTAGGTTCCTCTTTAGGGTCTATGACCTCTTCAAGCATGTGTACTTGACTATGTTTACAGTACCATGCATAGATTCCTTCCTAATAAGCAGGCCTTAAGTCCAATTAGACAGCTGTTGATTATCCCTAAGATAAAAGTGTCACTATTGCACCAACAGAGATATTTTACTGGGCTGGTCATTGTTGTGCCTTTACAGCTGGACAGGACCATTGACTGGTTTTCTCTCTTGGCAACATGCATAGCATCTTCTGGTACTATGAGAGCTAGTCTTCAGGGGAGAAGCTTCCAGGTCAGTTCCAGCTCAATTTCTCCAAGTCCTGTGATGTCTTCAGCAATAGGGTCTTATCTTTAAAAAATGGGAAACAGCTAGGTGTGGTGGTGCACGCTTTCAATCCCAGTACTTGAGAGGCAGAGGCAGGTGGGTCTCTGATTTCCAGGCCAGCCTGGTCTACATAGTGAGTTCCAGGTCAGCTGGGGCTACAGGGAGACCCTGTTTCAAAAAAAAAAAAGGGAAAGAGCTACAGCCTCCATTATTTTAGGAGTCTCTTGGACTACTCTGACAACTCAAAAGGAGGTGTTTCCCTTGCCTGGCACTGTGATTTTTGTTATATAGCCTTCAGTCATACACATATACTCACATATATATTACATGTGTACTTTTTTTGGTCTTTTTGAAACAAGGTTTCCCTGCAGCCCCAGCTTTCCCCGAACTTACTATGTAGACCAGGCTGGCCTTGAATTCACAGAGCTCTGCCCGCCCCTGCCTCCTAAGTGCTGGGACTACAGGCATGTGCCACCCCACCCGGCTATATGTATACTTTTCAATAGGTTCATGAAATAATATATTTCCCTTTGGTTTTTCACATGCCTAAGTCTTATCTCTCTTTTCTCACTCTTTCCCTGCATAGGCCCTCCTCCCCATCTCCAGATAAAAGTATCACCCACTCCCCCCCATTTCCTCCTTAATAGTGCCTATGTCCTACTATCCCCTCTCTTGAGTTCCTTCTTCCTTTGTCTACCCCATGGTTCCTTTCTATTTTTCTGCCTCCTGTGGTTATTGCAAGATTACTCACATCTAAAGAGTTGGAGTTAAGACCTGCAAATGAGGGAGAACATGCATGCTTGTTTTACTGAGTCTGGGATACTATACTCAGTATAACAGTTCCCAGTTCTGTCCATTTACCAGGCTGGCCCAGAATAGGAGCCTAAATAGGGAAGTTTTTAAAATTATGTGTTTATATGTGTGAGTATGTGCACATGAGTATAGATGACTTCAAAGGACAAAGGCATTGGATCTCCCTGGAGCTGGAGCCACCTGATGTGGGTGCTGGGAACTAAATTCAGGTCCTCAGGAACAGCAGTATGTACTCTTAACCACTGAGCCATAAATAAGGGATTAAAAAAAAAAAAGATTTTCTGAGTGTGGTGGCACATGCCTTTAGTCCCAGCACTCGGGAGGCAGAGGCAGGCAGATCTTTGTGAGTTCAAGGCCAGCCTGGTCTACTTAGTGAGTTCCAGGACAGCTGGGGCTGCAAGGAGACCCTGTCTCAAAAAGACCAAAAAAAAAAAAAAAATTTATATTTTTTGTGTGTGTTTTGCCTGTATGTATGTACACCACGTGTATGCCTTGTGTCCATGGAGGCCAGAGGAGGGGACTGGGTCCCCTGGAACTGGAATTATAGTTGTGAGCTGCCATGTTGTCCTCATGTGCTTTTTAACTGTTGAACTATCTCTCCAACCCCAATCTAGGTATACTTACATAAATGCTGGCAATGCATTCATACAAATAAAATTTAAATATAAAATATTTTTTAAAAAATTTAAAAATATTTTAAAAGGGATGAAGATATGTCTCAGTGGTTAAGGGTACATAATGTTCTTGCAGAAGACCCAAGTTTGGTTCTCAGCATCCATATCAGGTTGCTCACAATTACTTGACTCCAGCTCCAGGTGATTTGATGACCTTTTCTGGCTTCTGTGGACACATCTGTAGTATACACTCCCATAGATACACACTTATGTAAAAAAAAACAAAAAAAAAACACTATGAGCCTGGCATGGTGCTCACGCCTTTAATCCCAGCACTCGGGAGGCAGAGACGTGCAGATCTCTGTGAGACTGAGGCCAGCCTGGTCTACATAGTGAGTTCCAGGCAAGCTGGGGCTGCAGGGAGATCCTGTCTCTAAAAGACAAAATTAAGTAATTAATTATTTTTAAAAGTATTTTATTTATTATTATTATTATTATTATTATTATTTTGGTCTTTTTGAGACAGGGTCTCCCTGTAGCTCCAGCTGGCATGGAACTCACTCTGTAGGCCACACTGGACTTGAACTCAGAGAGATCCACCTGCCTCTGCCTCTGAGTGCTGGCATTAAAGGCGTGCGCCACCATGCCCAGCTCTAATGTTTTCTTATGGCAAAAATTCATACATACAGACTCTGCCTCTGAGTTGTCTTCTTCCATTTAGTAATTCTTTATACTCTAGCTTTTTTTTTCACCTTTAAAAATCAGTCTAAGCAATAAATTTAAGAGCAGTTGAAGTGTGATCCATGCTTTTAAGATGAAAGTAACTACAGAAAAGACTGGAAGGACATTTAGGTCACTGTGGGGGTAACAGATCGCTCAGACCACTCATCTTGATCATTCCAAGTACGCTAAGGAAGACCACTTCCCCCACCCACCTCAAAGAACTCTATCCATATAGAAATAATGAAATAAATGTGCTGCAAACAGTATGTTATCCCTAGAGAAAGGAAAGCAGCAAGAGGCAGCTGCTCACCCAGTGTTTGTGTTATTAAGAATGGCGTCTACATACCGATAAGAGCTGCTGGAAAATGTGACCCAAGCACTG